TTGTCCAACATTGTCTGTGTACTTGTTACGACGTGGCTATAGAATACGGTTTCCCCGAATCCTGGTGCGTCTCGGCATCCTTCCCTAGTGCGCGCGGCACCTAGATGATTGAAATACATCTCGAGGTTGAAAAGAGGCGTATCGCCATGCGACGGAACGGTCCCTCCAGGACATATAATGACATGCTTGATATCAGGCTCGGCGTCTATCGGAGTTCGATTGGGAGCGTAAATGGTGCAGAATAGGTAGACCCTCCTCGTATGAATGGAACTGGAACGTGTCCGATTCATCTTTGAATACGAAGGGTAATGAGGTCAAACCTAGGCTGTCAACTACAGCCTGAACGAGTTCTGATTTATCCGGGCTAGAAAGCAGGAATTGGGGAAGAGGTCGAGATGTTCTGCCTGATGGAGTCGGAGTTTTAAGTCCAATCCTTTGAAGGCAGAAACGTAGAAGTATTAGATGAGATTTATCGGAATTGTCTGAAGAACCCAAAGAAAGATTCTCAAGATTTGGTGCCCAGAATGAAACGAAGCCGTTCCCGATTTGGCACTGAAAGGCAGCAATATGTTCCCCGTCTTGCTCAATCGATTTTGCCAGAATCTGTGCAGGATTCTTTATTCCTGCAATGTCAAATTCCGGCATTCCTCCCTCGACAATCTCTTCAACGATCTCCTCTGATCCTTCGCTACGAATCCTCCTGGTTGTTTGATCCTTTTCTTTAGCCTCTTGTAAGAATACCGGTGCTAGCGAGGCTCCAGTTGCCCTATCCGTGAACCTAAATTCGTTTGAGACCTCTCCAAAAATACCCATTCCTTTGACGACCTTTGCTGAGGAATTCAAGCACAAAACCTGTCCTCCTCCTTCAACGAAACCATTGAGTATCGGACCAAGGTTTGCTGAGATTGTGTGGCCAGAACGAAGCTGAGGAAGGACTAGCACGCTGCAATTCGATGTCCAAGGCTGATTTTGCAGCACATGGACGCCAACCGGCTGAACGGTGTAATTTGGGATGAGAAGCCGAGCGAGGAGAGTAAGCGTGTTTTTGAGAGCTGAGGGCAACACCTCGGGTCCCGAGTAGACAAGAATGTTCACCATTTCGAGTGTTCTAAATCAGATGCATCTCAATCGAGGAAGGAACAAAAGTATGGGCGCTTATAATTATGCCGATCGATAGGAACGGGTAAGTACTTAATACTATACTTATAGTAATATGGATTTTAGGACAAGATGCTTAGTACAGCCGTTTAATTACTACATTCTTTCTGCTTTGAACCTCGAGACTCGTTTAACAGGGACTTCCTCCTCATCCTCTCTGTTGGGCTGACTACTGACGCGGGCTGAGGATTCCACGACCTGCGACGACATAATCGTCGGAGGTCGTTCAGGTCTCCAAGAAGTAGCACTAGCGTTATGAGGAAAAGAAGGTGATTCGACAATCATTGATGGTTGTGCAGGCCGGGGTACACGACCCGCGAGATTCGCTGCTTTTGAAGGAGTAGGAGCAGTACGTTCAACAACAGATTCCATCATGGCATGTGGAATGTTCGATAGTTTGGGTGAGGATCGACCAACCTTGGACACTGGAGTGTTCGATCCTGACGAAACTTCTGAGTTGAATTTCGGGCGCTCACTCTGCTGCGCAAGTTTAAACCTGGATGTTTTTGTTTTTTGTGGTAAAGGTTCGGTTGGAGGTGTAAAAGGTGGAACCTGCCCTGTTTGGGAAGAATTTGCAGGAGAATTGGGAGAAACCATATGGATTGCTTCCCCATTGGGACCGAGGTTGTATACTTCGCCTTTTTGGAGAAGCTCGATAATCTCTCGAGCGACTTCATCTTCACTCCCGCTGTCTCCAGCTTCCCCTCCCACTAGACGCTCATGTTCATCCATCTTGCCTAGACGAATAGCATGCTGTAGGGTTTGTGCGCCAGCTGCTGGGAGAATAGAGGGTTCGAATGGCTGTGATGAGGAAGACGTCGAATCGGCATATGAAGATGCAAGCCGATTGGCTCGAAATTGAGAAATGGATGATTTCGGTTTATTTGATGAAATTTCTGGCACCGACGAATCTTCATCCGGTTCATGGGTATGCGAGGTCAAAGCAGCGGCAGTCTCTCGACCAATCGTTTCTCGTTTACGCTGATACTCCAATACAATCTCCCGCTGATGCTGGGCAAAGTCCAGATCTATTTCCTCCTCCGGTTCAGAGTCTGGCACATCCGAGTGTTCCGTGTCAGAGTCTGCGTCGTTCAGCGGAGCTCCATCATCGGAGAGAGAGCCAGAGCCGACGTCTGATTCATCGTCAGAGTCACCACCTGCCTCTGCGATCTGGACCTTTGTTGTTTGCTTTTTGGTAGAGGTTTCGGGTGGATTGGGATTGGGAGCACCTGGAACTCGCTCGACAACGTGCAACTTCATGAGGCGCTCGCTTTCCTTGGCAAAATCGGGAGCAGGGCGTTTGGCGGCGGGACGCAGCCTGCCTTGAGAAACATCTCCCCAATCTGCTGCTTCTGTGCCTGCCTCTGAAGACGTCGATGCTTCAACCTGAGCAAAGCTGACGCTTTTCTTTTTACTGCTCGAAGCAGCCTGATGCTCCGTCACAGGAGAGGAAACGGAGGTCGAGGATGTTGAAGCTTGTTTTGCGGCGTCTTTGGTGACTTCACGTAGCAATGCCTTTCCCATTTTCTTGTGTGTCTCTTTGAGAGCCAACAGCCTCTCCCTCTCTGTTTTCCCGTCCTCCCGGCGTTTATCCAAAGCTTCCCTACGCTCCTGCGCCTCTTTTTCGCGCTCCCTGTGCTGCTCCAAAGCTTCCTCAGCCTCTAACATATCGAGAATCCTCTCCCGTTCTCTTCTACGCAGATCGCGCTCGGATGGTGGTAATGTCGAGAGCGGAACCAGTGGAGGTTGCTCCAACGTAATCATACTCTCTATTGGCTGGGATTGAGATTGAACAGGATATATAGGTTCCGTTATATCGATTATTGGAAGTCCTTCTTCATTGACGAGCTAAATACCGGCCATGAATAATCGATGCGAAAGAAAACAAAATGAAGAGTCTTACCGGTTGATTGCTACCTCCCTGCTGATCGTTATACGCGAATGCATCTCTGACCACATCTGCACCCATCAGCTCGGACAATTTATCTGAAAGTGCTTGCAGAGCTTCCGGAGAGACATTTTGAGCTGCATCGGGGCCAAGAGATTGAAGTAAAGCCTGAAGAGCTAAATTCGGAGTTTTATTTGGTCAGAATGAATAGGAATTATACCGACTATGAGGATACACCTTCGGTATTGTTTGAATCTTGGTTGGCCATCGCGGTAAGAGCTCAGAGTCAAAGCGTTAAGCGCTCATCAAGTCTGACGGCGCCAAAACGCGGTTCGCGTTTATTCTATCGCTGCCTTTGAACAGCGCATTGGTTTCCGAGCTTTTGAAACCACGACACAAGCCTCTCGAAGTAGCATCGAAATCTTCATGACTTTGTTTCGATTCGCAACTTACCAACTCGCTGAAGTTAAGCCCACATAGAGCAAACCACCAAAATATACGTGGATCATGGATATATGTATATGGCAAGCCTGGAGTTTTGGAATGAAGAACGATTTACTCCATTCCAGGCTCTGAAGATACAGTTGCTAAGAATATAATTCAAGATCCCTCTGCAGCTATACCGGGGAGGTTTTCGTATGTCAAACTTTTACTCAGATACGCATTACTACTACTAAATCTTATATTGCAGCCACGTCATAGCAATGCGTCTCAAGTACTCATACACAGGCTATCCGACTAGGTAAACGGGTAATCTAACTCTTATATTCAATGGGGTTTCCTTAGTGTGGATGACATAAAGAGCGCGAAGATTTTTGAGATGAAAGATGCCAATAGCGACAACACCCTGAAGCTTAATGAGGTGGTCGCTTCTCAGAAGATCTTAATAACGCCTCTACCAGCCATGGGATGTCCTTAATATCCACTGAACATCAAAATTTACCTTTCATCTCAGACAGAACAATCCGCTTCCCATGAGAGGGAGCAAGTCGGTCCAGCTCAAGCTACAGTCCAGCCGGATATTCTGAGATGATGGGCAGGTTTCGACGAGACCGAACGCTTTGATGATTATTCGCCAGTCATTCTACGCTTCGTTACTTAATTCCGTGTAGAGGAGTACGGGGAAGAGATCTATCGCGTCTTTAGGCTGATGTAGTGTCCTTGGTGTGTGTATTATTTTAAACTGCTAATGGAAATGAATCTTTGCGCGCACATACTCATATGTTGCTGTGGGGAATGCAGATGCGAATGAAGAGATAGCGAATGCGAATGCGGGGACTGGGAAGCTGAAGACTGAGAATGCGAATGCGAGTGTGAAAGTGAGTGTCTCTTCTATCACCTCCGTTCTCTCTGCTCTTTTTTTTTTTTCATTCTCTTCCTGTGTAGCTTCTGTTTCCCCCAGCAGTAAATTGCTCTCCTGCTTTCATTCTTTTCCAGAGTAACCTCCGCTCCCCCGACGGAATGCTCTGTTTTTTTTTTTTTTTTTTTCGTTGCCTCACCAAAATGGGTCAACTATACGAAACCTCAGAGTTCTATTGTATTTATAGACCGACACGAGCAGGCCCCTGCTACGATTCCGAACCTCTCTCTTTTTACAGGCTCGGAAGGCTCCCTTTTAGTTTAGTCGTGCCAGACTCTTTCATTGCTTTTTTGTGCTCGTCACCAGCAACAACTCGTTCATGACTAGATGTCAATACCAATTGTAATGGAGCAGTTTGATTCTTGTTGTGTTTAATGCTTATTGAGATTTAAATATTTGAAATCAAGATCTCCGAATTTTGTTCTTCCATGCCAGTAGTTGATGGCTGATTTTTGAATATAGGCATTATCATTCCTCCCACTGCCAATGAGTACAAAGTAGTTGTAGCTATAAAGGAGTAAATGAAGCAGTTTCAGTCAGGCATTAAAACAAAAGAAATAACAAAAGCGAAATGTGCATAGCGCAACCCATTTATGCATTAAGAGGGAATCGAACCCCCGGCGGGTCGACACTTCTTCATCGGTTTATGGCAACGACCCAGGTTACCACTACCCCATTAATGCTTCTTTAATATCATCGTAATTACGCACTCGTCACCACTTTGGCTTCACCTCTAAGATGCTCAATGAAGCCGCAGCTCTTCCACGTCCCATTCAAGTAGCTGAATTTGAAATGGACTTGAGAACATTGTGCTATGTAGCATCACTGACGCCAATTCATCGTTGAAATGAACTACGGACTAACATCGATGATCAGATAACTAGTGATAGAGACTAACTCATGTCTTGTCGGTTAAACCATCCGACTTCACTATCGGCGAGTAGCCCACAAGTTGACGCGCACGATTCTATTCGATGAGTATCAGCTGAATTCAGTCCAACCTAACGAGCTGGAGCATTGGCGACTTACCACTACGGTGCCTTCTCGAATAAATAACATCTTGTCTGAATTCGCATTCCCAGACTATAATGAAGAATTCAGTTTAAATAAATTGAACTGCCGAATCATGCGAAGATGTTGAAGATCTTCGACGTTCGTGCTGTGGCGCCAGTCTCGGAAACGGAGTGGATGGGGCTGACAAGTCTTCCACAGAGCACGAAGAGAGCAATGGACTGAGACAGAGTACGGAAAGTAAAACAATGATCATGGAAGCAAGCAAGGACCTGATATTTCTGGACATAGATGGGAGTAGATAGACCTTCCATCATCTGGGCAGCGGAAAATGCAGCCGAGTCGAGAACGAGTAGATCAGGATTGCGGCGGATAAGTTAGGAGCTTGTAGACTTTGGTAGAACGTGAAAAGTAGGTGCAGCGGATGAATAAAATCGAGAGTGCCAGTGAGTTCTGTGGGTGGCGATACGACAATACCGTTACGACGAGACTGGACTGAAAGACACACGCGTGACCCATACATGGAGAGTTTCGCGGAGCTGAATACAGGCATCCTACGCATTATGAACGGACCGTTGTGAAGGGCAAGCTCTATAAAAGAAAAAGGTCCAAGATGAATGAGATATATCGCAGCTGCTTACCATTGATTCCTAACCGCTTATAAGCTGACTGAGATTAAACTATGAAGACAATTGCAAGGCGCGTCAGGACTCTGAATCCATAGTGAGTGTACTCGTGGGAATTAGCAAAACGCGACAGTTATCAACTGTCAGCTTCATCCTCAGTATTATTATTAGATCTCTGCTGGCTACAACTTTGTCCTTGGACCTGACTACGATTCATTGTATTTTGCTGTCTCGATCACGGAGAATAAGGGAAAACTGAAATTTGAGGTTAGTCAATGTTCAACTTAACCCGTTTACTTCTAGAATTTGTTGTAGGACTTGCGCTGGACTTGAACCGACGGACTAAATTGCAGGAAGCATAAAGACTATCAGTATTACCTAGCCTTCAACTCTTCAATACTTCAAGACAACGAGCTTGCAAATCCGACTTGGATTCCCTAATCATAATTGAGCAATGGTTATGAGACCCAAATCCTGAATAGGCCTTGCGATTTTATCTTTGGAACGGTCGATAGGCGAATCGAGCGTTCTGTGTACCTCTCTCGGTTGGTCTTTCCTAGTATCTCCTCACAGATATCGAGGCATATCTCCTGTGTTCTGATGTTGGAATTTTGGCGCTGTACACAAGACCTCGCTCTACCTGAAGACTTCCTACGTTCTAACGCACAGCGTGATTACACAGGTCTTGTCCCAAGCCTCTTCTGAAGCCATAGAAAATGCTATGAAGCGCCGGCCGCTCGACGATTGAGGAACTCGGTGCGACTTCAGAGCAGAGGAGCGGGAGGTTGAAGCAGACTCCAATCCCGACTCGGAGATCATGGCGACAATCCGCTAATGAAAATACTATGAAGAAAACATAGGGGTTCGTGAGCTTTCATCACTGGCATCAGCAGCAGTATAACCTCACCAGCTTTCTCGATACAGGTCCGAACGTTTCCGCCTACTTCCCAAAAGTCTTTTGACTCGACTCATCTCCCTCACCTTCCAACCATCCCCAACAAGTCCCGTCCGTCCTAGAGCCCCCCGCCCACCGGATTTATCCTCTGGCTTGACGTCTAGCATTGAGCTCGCCAGAATCCTTCAAAGCGGCGATTTGGCAAGTCAATTATGCCCCCACTGGGCTAAACTGCAATTCCAGACGCAGGAATGTCGAACGACAAGTTTAACGGGACCTGGGAACAGCTTCGATTCGGGACCAAGCGCGATATGACGGTCCTTCCGTGACTAGTCTGTGGCTGATTTCCTCATCAATCGATATCCAAGTCGGAGACTGGAACTAGACATGAAGAAATCGATCTTGCAGCAGCAGCATAATCTCACCGAATTTCTCGATACAGGTCCGAGCCATACCAATCCCAACTATACGGGAAACCACGGAGATCTAGCATGCACTATGTGAGCGCTCTCAACAAGGCAAGAATGTGACCGCCTACTTCCCTTTTGACCCGAGTCATCCCCCTTACCTTCTAACAATTTCCTGGCGAATCCCGCGTATCCCAATGCCCCCCGTCCGTCGAATTTATCCTGCGGCTTGAGCATCTAGCACTGAGCGAGCCAGAATCCTTCAAAGCGGCGATTTGGCAATTGGCAACTCAATTACCCCCCACTGGGCTAAACTGCAATTCCAGATGCAGGAATGTCGAGCGACGGGACCTGTGGGCAGCTTCGATTTTGGACCAAACGTGATATGACGGTCCTTCCGTGACTAGTCCGTGGTCAATCGATATCCGAGTCGGAGACTGGAACCAGACATGAAGAAATCGATCTTGACTCGGTCTTCTCGAAGTGAAGCATGTAGAATCGATTCTGCGTCAACATTGCGTGCTGCGGAGAGTCTTCATCGTTGCAGTCCTCTTTTCCAAGCTGAAGTTGCAAGTTGGGGTCGAATTCGGCTCGAATCGCTTTAGATAAACCTTTGGGCGGCTGTAGAATGTAACTCGTTTTCGCTAGCGTGCGCGAAAACAGTTGCACTGGATCTTGTACGCGAGACTGATCGACGTTGCACCAAATCAACCTCTTTTTTCTCTTCCAGCCTTGTGTCTTGGTCCTTGGGCTCGACGGTAGGATAATGCAGTTGGATCTCGAGCGATCTCAAACATGGCCATCGCACGAAGTAGGCAGGATAGTTCATAGTACGCGTCCAAGTTGAATATATTCATTTTTTCACACCCTCCCTGTTCTGGCGCTTTTTAAGACCAACTGAAATAACGCGAGGTTTTTAATTCTCTCTTTCTGACTATCACGACCACTCCGACTCTTGCCAGCATCCATTTTACATTGGCATGGCTTATAAAACCAAGAACATTGACTCCGAGAAGCGTCGTCGTGCGCGTATTGCGGCTTCTATTCTGGGCCAACGCCACTGGACTTCAGCTTCCGTCGTAAGTGTTATATAAGATATTCAACCTTTTTGCATTTCTAATTATTTTTCCTGGTCAGACCTTTTCGAATCCGGCGACATTTGTCGTCCAGCAGGCCGAAAATCAAACTGTAGGTGCCCTTCTTTGATGACTTCCTTCTTCTTCTTGAAGTCATTCTTACGAGTCCTATATAGCAAGCCGTACCGGCCAGCATGATTCAGAATATGCTAACGCGGATCCAAAACCTCGAGCAAATGCTCTCGAATCTTTTGCAACCCCGGCTTCCGCCAGACATCGAAATGGTGGATGTAGAAGATGAGATGGACATTGACTGTGAGCACTCAGACTTTGTATTGCCTGTTGACGACAACATCGTTGTCGGTAAGATTTTGCCCTCGCGCTCAAACACCCTCTTAGAATCAAACCACCATGTTCGACATCTCTTGCATTATAACGACCTTGAAATATGGCCTCGTGAAATCTTCTCATTATTTTTTGATTGTTCAACGTATCCGAAACACCCTCGTTGAAAACCATGTTACATGCGAAATCGTAGAGCTTCTGCGATCTCTTCTCCTTCTTGCTTTGCTACTGTATGCTATCATCCTGCTATGCTCACTCGTCGCAATCTCTTGTATCATCATACTGTACTGATACTACCATTACCTGTACATATAGTCGACAATACGGACTTACTCCTTGGCGTTTGCACTTGCTAATTACTCTTATATTGCCAAGGTGTTAAATATATTTTATGAACGAGAGCGATTTTTCCCCGATTTACTGAAAGTTATTCAAGAGGACTCTGCGACAGTACCGACAGCCTTTTATTCGATTCATTGGAGGCAGCAGATCCTTTGGTATAAATCGCCATTCATCCGTTCCAATGAATCTTAGTCTGCTAAGGATTTCCTACGTACGAAGTTCGAAGGAAGGCATCTTTGAGGAACAACCGGGCCTAGGCTACATTCAGCGAAGTTCTGTACCACGGATTCCTGAACCAAAAGCCATGTATAAAAGACATTCGACTCATATTAAAAGTTCAGACTACAAGCATCACTTTCGGATGGCGTACATAAAGCCATCAAACGCTCGTTCACCAACAGTGGCAATCGTAGTCGCGTCAATGTCTTTATCTTCTTTCAGAGTCGCCAACATCTCCCTGACGCCAACCGAATTGACGTCGTTTACGCTCATGTCTGAGACTTGTCCATAGCGCACGACGTTATCCACGATCTAGGAAAATTTACTCAGCATTGAATCCAGTCAGACCTACGATCATGCCGCCCTTTTTTTACGAGACTTTTAGCTTCTGCAAAATATGTGGGGTATGATGTGGGGTATGATTTCTTGTCTGCATCGATGAAGATCAGGTCGAACGGGATGAAGGTTGGTCATCGATTCTGCGGCACTAAGCGTGACTTTGCACTTATTCTCGAGTCCAGCTTTCGCAAAGTTTTCTTCGCGACCTTACAAAAGATTTATAAAACTAAAGTGTAGAAAGATGAACTTACCTTGGCGTGGAGTGTGTCTATCTCAAGCGTGATCAGCGTCCCATCGTGAGGGAGCGCTCTTCCCATCCAAATGCTGGAGAGTCAAACGAATATCAGAAGTAATGAGGTGAAATGAAACAAACCCTCCAAGCGTGCCAACCTCCAGGATGCGTTTAGCTCCTATAGATTGAGC